AGGGGGCTAGACTAGAAGACCTCCAAGGTCCCTTCCAGCTTCTATTCTATTCTGTTCTATTCCATTCCATTCTATTCTTCATTCCAATATTCTATTTTATTCTACTCTACCTTAGTCCATTCTACTCTACTCTACTCTACTCTACTCTACTCTACTCTACTCTACTCTACTCTACTCTACTCTACTCTACTCTATTCTATTCTTTCTATTTATTTATTCATTCATTTATTCATTCATTCTTATTATATTCTATTTATTCATTCTTATTATATTCTACTCTATTCTTTCTATCTATTTATTCTTATTCTATTCTATTCCATTCCATTCTATTCTTCATTCCAATATTTTATTCTATTCTACTCTACTCTAGTCATTTCTATTCTATTCTATTTATTCATTCATTCATTCATTCTTATTCTATTTATTCATTCTTATTATATTCTACTCTATTCTTTTTATCCATTCTTATTCTATTCTATCCTATCCTATCCTATCCTATCCTAGCGACCATTTAAAGTTACAATGGCATTTGCAGGCCTAACATGCAATTTAATATGAAATATATATATAACTGAATTGCTCATCCATCTCCACCTCTAACAGCTGGAGGAGAAAGCCCTATCTGTCTCTTTTAAATATTCAACTTCTGCTCCAAGTATTATCCAGAGTTATTTTCTGCAGACTTCAACGTTGGACATCCAACAGTCCTATGCTTTTTTCCTTTTTTTAAAGAGAAAGTAGTTGTCAAAGAGTAAGACTCACTTCATACTGGCGACGGCGGCTCAGGTAATCAAGATTTTGGTCACTCCAGTCAAACTGCAACCTGTCCTTAGCCTGCTGATCCAGCCAGTAGAGCTTATTGGTGCAGCGCTGCATAAAATCTTGCAATAGATTCAGGTTCTCTTGCCTTCGCTGGGATTCCGACTGCAAGCAGAAAGAGCGTTTGGCCAAGGTTGGAAAGATGGAGGTGCAAAAAAATCCAACCCCAGGAAAAATAATAATCCTTTTTCGAAAACAGTTTTCAAGCCATCTCTTTCTCCAGAGGACAAAAATCCAGGAATTTCAGAGCTGATTCCTTATTGATGAGCCCAACTTATGCAACCTCCCCACCCCAACTGAGGTCCTGTTAGGAACTGCAATAAAAAATATATCCAGCGAGCACAACAAAAGGATCCTTCCCCAATAAATATTTGAAAGTTGTGGGAGCTTCATCACTGGAGGCTTTCGAGAAAAGACTGGACTGACATTGGTCAGAAATGGCATAGGGCAGTGATGGTGAACGTTTTTCTGCACGGGTGCCAAAAGGACGCAGGATAGCTTGCGCATGCCCACACCCATAATACAATGTCCTCCACCCTGCGCATGCATGCATTACCACCCATACTCCCTCCCCCCCCAAGCATGCGTGCAGGCATCACTGAAACCTCCGGACTTCCAGTAGGCTCGTTGGGCCATTTTTGCCCTCCCCAAGCTTCAAGAAAGCCCCCTGAAGCCTGGGGAGAGCAAAAAATGGCCCAATGGGCCTACCGGAAGTTTAAGAATAAACTTCCAGTAGGCCCGTTGGGCCATTTTATTGCCCTCCCCAAGCTTCAAGAAAGCCCCCTGAAGCCTGGGGAGATAAAAAAAATGGCCCAACAGGGAAACTGGAAGTTCGTTTCCGAACTTCCGGTTGTTTTTCGCCATCCACAGGCTCCAGAGGCTTTCCTGAAGGTTGGGGAGAGCGAAAACGGCCTCCCTCCGTCCTCCGGAAGGCCGAAAATCAGCTGGCCAGCATGGGCACGTACACTAGAGCTGACATAGTGTGTCCTCAGATTTGGCTCCACGTGCCATAGGTACTGCATCATGGGTGTAGGGTCTCCTGCCTGGACAGGGGGTTGGACTAGATGACCTAAATGTACCTTCCGACTCTGTTAACCTGTAACAACAATTCCTCCATTGTATCTTGGAGCAGCTGCATGATCTGCTGCTTGACAGATGTGAGAGATGATCTCAATCATCCAGATCATGGTTGTCCCAAAGGTGCTTTTCCAAAAGGCAACTTGACTTTCTTGGGTTGGGTTTTTTTTTTAATGTTTTGCTTCTCACCCAAGAAGCTTCTTCAGTTGTTCAGAACTGAAGAAGCTTCTTGGATGAGAAGCAAAACATTTTCAAGGAAAACAACCAAGAAATTCCAGTTGCCTTTTGGAAAAGCACCTTTGGGACAACCATGACCTGGATGATTGAGATCATCTCTCACATCTGTAAGGCAGCAGTTCATGCAGCTTCTTCAAGATAACAAAGCACCTTTGAGTCTTCTCCAATAAGGGAATAGCTTCCTAAAATGGCTTTGGATCAAACTTTCTTGGCTGATCCCCATTGGTCAAATCCTACATTCAACAAAGCCTGAATTATTTTCACCATATGCTTAAAGTCTCTCCTCTGTACGCTTCTATGGCATCTTCTCCCCACTAATATCTCACCAGATTTGATATGATGGACCTCAAATCTGAGATTTCTGAAAATTACACAGTTGCTGAAAGTTGTCTTATGGCCTGTTCTTGCCATTCTTCTCACCTACTCTATTCCCTAGAACAGGGGGTGTCAAACCTGATTTCACGAAGGGCCACATCAGGGTTGTGTTCAGTGGTGGGATTCAATTTTTTTTACTACTGGTTCTTGTGGGTATGGCTTGATGGGAATCGCTTGATGGGTGTGGCTTTGTGGGCGTGGCAGGGGAAGGTTACTGCAAAATCCCCATTTCTTCCAGATCAACTGGGACTCGGAGGCAGAGAATAGATGGGGGTGGTGCCAGACAGAGGTAGTATTTACCGGTTCTCCAGAACTGGTCAGAACCTGCTGAATACCACCTCTGGTTGTATTTGATCTCAGGGAGGTGGAGTGGGTGTAGCCAGGGTGGGCATGACCAACTCAACATCACTTGTGTTGGGGGCGCCTATATTGGCCCAAGTGTTCTGTCAAAGAAAATGGGCTCCTGAGCTCCGTTTTCACCTACAACTTCCTCCTGCAACCCTCTGGAGGGCTGCGTGTGGCCCTCACAAGCTCCGTTTTCACTGGCAGAAGCAGCACAAGCCAGTGCTGTTTCCAGGACAGCCCCATGGGACAGATCTAAGCACCCATGCAGGCTGGATTCTTGAGTTTGACATCCCTGTCCTAGAAGAACACAAGAATCTGAACTGCCAAATCCCATGATCAGCGCTGTAAGTTTTATTTTTTATATTCCAGATGTGATGACAACTCAACTTGCAGAGAGCATGCTCCTCCTCTCTGGCCCAATAATTGTATTCCTTGATGATTACTCAACAATGCCCTGGGAGTATTTTCTCAATTCATCTCTGAGTTGCTAAGATATACCATAATTACACACATCTGTTTAGGGGGAAAGAAGTCTTACCAGCAGTTTCTGGTACTTCATCTGAAGCTCGCTTGTATTCTCCTGGAAATAAAAAGAAAAGACCAACCTCAAAAGAAGAGAAACCAGCAAGACCCTACTTTTATCATACATGCATCACAGTTAAGTGTCTAGCCATTGTCAACCCTGAAGCTGGTCTGACCTGAGGCCGTTTTGATACTTTGGTGCTGACATGCTGAAGGAGAGTTAGTTTAATTAGATAGATAGATAGATAGATAGATAGATAGATAGATAGATAGATAGATAGATAGATAGATNAAAAAAAGGAATCACTCCAATTGCAGGTGGCTTGGTCTACTTCCAAGCTCAGTTAAAAGGAGGGGGATCCAAAAAGAAAGAAACATCTATGCAGGTTGTCTCTGGAAATCCTTGACCATCCAGGTCACGCTTGTCCCCAAAGATGCTTTTCCAAAAGGCAACTGGACATCCTTGGGAGTTTTTGTTTCCCCTTGAGAACGTTTTGCTTCCATTCAGTTCACTTCTTCACTTCAGAACTGAAGAAACGTCTTAGATGAGAAGCAAAGCGTTTCCAAGGAAAAGAAACAGGAAAGTCCAGTGGCCTTTTTGGAAAAGCACCTTTGCGACAGATTATTCAAAAAGAATTCCCTATAAAAGAGCCACTGTTCGTTCCCTTGGTGGCATCCATCACTGAAGGAAAGTCATCTTAAATCCAACAACATAGAGCAGGTTTCCCTGGAATCCCCTATACTAGAGGTCTTCAAACCTGGCAATTTTAAGACTTGTGGACTTCAACTCCCAGAATTCTGGGAGTTGAAGTCCACAAGTCTTAAAGTTGCCAAGTTTGGGGACCCCTGCCCTATACAGTATCTCTTTCTAGAAAGCTAGTTACAGTAAGCTCTGCTTTGCTCACTGCTTTGAAAACTTTCAAGCAGAAGTTCCTGTCAGCTTGCTCCAACGTTGAATTCCATCTCCACCAAAGCGTACAGCTACTGCTCCTTGACTTACAACCATTCGTTTGAGTGGCTGCCACAAAGAAGAGGGGATCAAATTATTCTCCGAAGCACCGGAGGGCAGGACAAAGAAACAATGGATGGAAACCAATCAAGGAGAGAAGCAACCTAGAACTAAGGAGAAATTTCCTAAGCATGAAGACAATTAACTAGCTTGCTTTCAGAAATCATGGCCGCCCCGTCACTGGAGGTTTTTAAGAAGAGACTAGACAGTCTCTTCTTAAGACAGTTATCTGAAATGGTATAGGTTCTCCTGCTTGAGCAGGGGGCTAGACTAGAAGACCTCCAAGGTCCCTTCCAGCTTCTATTCTATTCTGTTCTATTCCATTCCATTCTATTCTTCATTCCAATATTCTATTTTATTCTACTCTACCTTAGTCCATTCTACTCTACTCTACTCTACTCTACTCTACTCTACTCTACTCTACTCTACTCTACTCTACTCTA